CCTAAATTTTCTATCACTACAAACGTATTGAGTCTTCCAGATAAATTCTATATCCTAAATGTGTTGATGTACCCATAGTCTTCAGTGTGCTGACATGTCAACAGTCCTAATGCATTACAATGATGTAATCCAAAATGTCTTTACAGGAATTAACAATAATTTCCAAAAGTAGTGTTTTCAACAGACATATGAGCACTTTTTAATTCAAACAACTCTCATTATAAAGAAAATATATGCAATAAAGCATTATACAGTAATAACGTACATAGCAAAAATGTTTTATGACTGTCAACGTGATGTGCCGAATATTGATGTTGTATTCCTACAGCATCAAACTGGACCTCAACAATCTCTGATTTTTTTTTTTTTTTGTTATGTTAACAAAAGTCAGGGGGTTGTGATCTCTGAATACAACATAAAAGAACAAACTCGGCTATTATACACTTCGCAAAGTTGCAAAGCCAATATTAATGCCAACACTATTTCTTGATTGTGGAATAATTTATATGGTGCTTGATTAATGTTTAATAGAAATAGCACACTAGATGATCCACACCATTACTGTCTACTTGAACCAATAATCCACCAACCAGTACATCACATCAATAGACATTTTAAACGATTTGTTGAAATTTGGAAAGAACGTTTGCACTCTTCAGCATTGCCTTTAATTTATCAGGAGCCGCCTGACATTTATCAGACAATGACATCTGTTTATTTTACTCGGTAATTTGGTCAGGGGTGGATCAATTCTGGAAAGATTTCAGCAATTTCTGAATATAACACGTCATGCCCAACATGGCATCAGCTGCTTTCTACTCACAGGCACTGAATTCGGGTAGCTCTCACCGTCTACTCACAGGCACTGTGAATTCAGGTAGCCCTGACCTTATACAGGTTTAACAATGACCATGACCCACAATATGTCATGAAAATGTAACACAAGCATGGCAAAACTCACTTGTATCCAAATTATTAAATTATTAAATGTGCATCACTGGGTCGGTGAAAGAATTTCCGATTGGTCTTATAGCGTTACAGTTACCTTATAATCTTCATTAAATGCTGTAATGTTGAAGGCAAATGTTTTGTACCATACGGCATCACTTTATATTAATTATAGTTACGAATGCCGAAATTTCCTTTTTTCATTCCGTCAGTGGATATTGCCAGAATCCTCTTAAAATGTTTAACTTTATTTTGCATTTCCAATTTTATGAATGCAGTCAGTGCAGTGGGGTTTTTTTAAGGGGGGGGTGCATTGGAAATGAAACTGTTTTGGTGACACTGTTCGCTTTCTTATAGTCAGTACACACATAGGAAGTATTACCTGGATTTGGCACTTGCATACATGTTGAATACAGTTACTTTTACTCGGTTCTTTGAAACCATTCTTCAACAAATCCTGATTTTTCTCTCAAACATTCCTGCTTGAGTGTATTCAACCAGCATGGATACTGTTTCACAGATGTAGAATCTACAATTTCAACATCACGGTATATTTATTCGTGTTTGGAGTATCAGGACGCAAGTGTTCATACTGTGATAGCGGTTTTGGTTTACTCGTTGCTTGCTGCTATAAATGTGAAACTTTCAGATCCAGATTGTTTAATATTTCCGAAATCCGAAGATTGGTTACACAAAAGTCATTATATAGTACGATTGCTTGTCATCATTTAGATCTTCACCAAATTTACTGAACTATTAACGGGACTATATCAACATACTCCTTTAATATCTTTATGGCAACGTTGTTTCTTTTTTCGTCTCCCTGGAGAGTTAATAATATTGTAATAAAATTGGTAGTGAATTCAGACCCAAACCGCATGACTGTCCTTGGAATAATGTAGTCCCTATTAAAATCTAGTGGAGTACACTGGTGTTGTGACAGCAGGGTAGGGAACCAGTAAATTACCCAATGGAATAAACAAGGGACTCTGCAGATACTGTTTATGTCGCTTTGTGGCAAATGTGATGTAGTTGTACTGGCCTAATGAGCCTTGAAATCAACGTTTGAATGGCCTAAGGTGGCGTAATTAAAATAATTCCCTGTGTTTGGGAATCGTTGAGTTACGGCGGGAACTGCTTACGGTACCGAAAGTTGAAAAGAAACTATGCAGAGGTGCGGTTGATAGATAGTTGGCAATTTGCCAGATCTGTGGTCTTGCATTGATTGGAGTAAAATGTATGTTTAGAATGGACACGTCAAGTTTTCTAATTTATAACTGAAATTGTATATCAGTCTTTGGAAATTTGGGGTAATCTTATGACTTCTAGCGGGAATCGCGCCATGGCTTGCAACAATATAATTTAAATGACTTTCTTTTCAACTGCATACGGACCATAATACATATCCTTAAGAGTGCCAGAACTCTATCAGCATCCTGAAAACTCCTTTTCTTGTATTTCTGTCATTCTTTAATTTCCTTTTCAATGAGCTCTTTCTGCGTCACAAACCTTTGACAGACTACTCATCTTAGCTAAGACCAAGTCAGGCAACTAATATTTACTGACAATGTGCATGTCCACACGATTTCCAGAAGGAATTCTTTTGAGGAATATTAAAATTAAAACTATATTAAAGCTTCTTCTCTTTTTGTTCTTCTGAAATCTATACAATCTGTTCACATCTTGTATCTCTCGTCCAAATAAAATATTTTTCACAGTGCAGGAAACTAGTTTTATGTATCTCTCGTCCAAAAAAAAATATTTATCACAGTGCGGGAAACTTGTTTTATGCATCTCGTACAAAAAAATATTTATCACAATGCGGGAAACTTTATCACAGAGATGGAAAATCATTTGATGTAAAAATCATTTGTATTTATCGTGCAAATTAGGGGTGGGGCAATCTGAATATCCAAAGATATAAATTACAGGCAAAAAGGACAACGAATATGACTGTTTTAAAAATATTCGAAATCGACAATGAGGAAAAAAATGGAGCAAAACTAACCTTTGATAAAATCTATCAGGTAACAACTTCCCTTTATCATAAACAGTGCACATTTATCTTCACTGAATGACGTTGTCTTATACATTACACGGAATTTAATGAAACACAACCAACTCCAAAACTGAATCTATTTTGTTTTTATTTATTTTAGGTATTATGCAAAAACGATGAACCGCTATATTCTGACAACAATCATGTACTTTCAAATTTACCAGCTAATTTGACAGCAGCATTAAACAATCCCAACACAACTGTAAACTAAGACTACATTTTTTTTTGCTCATTTTTCATCATTATGTGAAGACAACAAGATTTGTATATTTTAACAAAAATAATTTTTTTTCCCTAGAAAACATGGAGAAAATGTAAATAAATCAAACAAGACTTACGATTTACGAAGGAGATTATTTTTATTAGTATTATGACTTTATTTAAAGAGGGTAACTCAATTAGCTAAGAACTAATCTACCTTGAGGCCCTCATTCAAAGGAATTTATTTTTGCTGCATCTCTGAAGCCATTGTATATACTGGGTTTGGAAAGAGGAAATAGAGTGGGCATTTCTAATCTCAACTGGAATATTATTCCAGAGCAATGTTCCAGAGTATTGGAAACTTTTTTAAAATAATTCCTTATTTGGTTTGGGAACCTTGTAATGTTTGGTAGACATTGATGGCAGGTGGGGAGTATTTCCAGGTAGCCTATACTTGAATAGTGATTGTAAATATTCCGTAGCACTATTATTGGCTATCCTGTACATTAATTTGGCTTTCTTGAACAGATTCGGTCTTTAATAGGTATTATTTTTAACTTACCAGCTAAATTTTCCTTGCTTTCTTTCTGGATTGATATTAACTCAAAAGCTCTTTTTTGGAGATGTGCCAGCTTTGCTAAGTTTTTATCATTTGAATTACCCCATACTGTATTACAGTAGTCTAAATAGGGTAACTGTTATAAAATAGTTTTCTGTGCTTTTCCGGGAGAAAGTGTCTTATCCTACTGAGAAGCCATAAACTTGAATTGACTTTTTTACTGATATGATTGACATGTTCAGTCCATGATAGGTTATTATCTACCAAAACACCAAGTAGACTAGATAAAAAAAATAATTGTTCTAAAGAAATGAAAACACACAATTCCTGTGAACAAACAGTTCTAAATTGGCACAGTCTGAAACTCAGTTCCGGTCCAAGATGGTGGATGACGACGTCAGATGAATACTAACACAAAAGGTCCAGAATTTTCGCAGTGAAGCACAATTAGTAATGTTTTATTCCAGTTTAGAAGTAATTTCAAAAAATGTCTTTGTCCAAAGCCAGTTGTGTAGTTCTCCAGGGAAAATAATTATTTAGAAAGTATACGAAGTACAATTATCTCCACTAACAAAACACATGTCGTTCTATGTAAACATACGAACAAATAACTTCCAGCACAAAAAAATACTTTTCTTAAGGTAATAGAAGCTATGTGTCTCTCTAAGATGTTTAAAATGGTGACTAAACTGCACTTACTGCTACGGCTGAACTTTCTTACAGATCACTAAGCATATAAAAGACACTAATACGTCGTTTCATGTACATGCGCACGAAGGACACGTGTAATTTCCCAATCCATCTGGACATTAGGAAAGCATGAACGAGTATCAGCCAATCATTTACATGGCTACTTCTAAATGATTACTTGCGACGAATTTACTATCATACAAAGTTAGTGTTTAAACGAGTCACATTTACGATTTCATTAAACATGATATTTCTAGCAAAATGTTAGACCCATGATAACATAATAATAATAATAATAATAATAATAATAATAATAATAATAATAATAATAATAATAATAATAATAATAATAACTAAATTTAATGATATAAAAAGCTACTCTAGTGTAAAAGACATCATTTTGACTGAACTAGAAAGTTTTTAGATTTGTAACTATTATTTCTGTGAAAAATAAAAATATTAGGCATTTAGCAACTAGCTTGAATGCCTATATATGTTGGCACTCTCACTATTTAATATGTGCACGACATAACAACCGCTCCAGTGGCCTAGTGGTTAGAGCGTCCACCTCAGATGCGGGGGTCGTAGGTTCGAACTCCAGCCAAGTCATACCAAAGCCTTATATAAAAAGGTACTAACAGCCGCGCTCAGCATTAGTTGTTGTTGTTATTGTTTGGTATTTTATGTTAGGACTGGTCGGCCTGGTCTCAGGATAATGCGTTTGGGTAGGATATCATGTTACGTGTCTGCGGCATTATGCCCCAGTGCTGGACATCACTATTAACTGTCACAATGAATATATCCTAGCCATATGACTGAAAGCCTGTTAAAACTACGTTTAAAAAATCCAAATCCAAAATTACTATCAGACAAGTTGATTTTGTAAGCACATTTTACTTTTGTAGAAAAGCGTCGCCATATCACACAAACTCAATAAGTTTTTCATGTGCATTACATAACTCTTTATGCTAATTGAAATCCTTTTATATAATTTCAGCTAGTGTATTACGACACTGTTTCGTGTACATTGAAAATATGATTTCAGTTGGCACGCAGTGTTACTGTTTTCCTCTGTACTGTAATGCACACAACAAATAAAAACTTCACCTCCCACCATTTTCCACTTGTACCATCTTCATTGCATTATTGATTCCTGCAAATAATCGTGATTTTAATAGAAAGTACATGCTTGTGCCATATGTTATGTTCACGTGCACTTTCAATCCTGGAATCGGATCAGCCATTTGGCAATTTTTCCCCTCCTGTGTTAATGTGCCGTAAAGCACATATCCAATCCATATTGGCTATAAATAAATTCTCTCAAGGGAAATAGCCGGTAACAACACAATCAATACACTAAGAGATTTATCTCCCTTAACCATTTTGCTTGCGGTATTCTGCCATTATGTATGATGCTATATGTTAAAGACTTAGGAGGACTTTAAGTAACAGAAAGAAGCAAAACTAGCAAGGTTTTTGTTGTTGTTGTTGGTTTTTTTTAAAAATATTTTAATTATCTAATGATTCAAAAGAAAATGTAAGAGGAACTTACCGTATTATGTAAAAGGCCTATCACAAGTCCAAAATGTTTCAAATGAATTTCGGGTCCTGAATGGGCTGAAGTCTTAATGCATCACAACGACTTGGTCAAGAACGTCTTTGAATGAATTCACAATAATTCCGAAATGCTACTTCTAGTTAAGACCATAATATGAGCACTTTGTACCTCCAATAAAATAAACGATTCCTCTCAACTTAAATCTAAGCACAATATTAAATCCATCTGCAGACTAATATTAAAAGAAGAATAATACTTGGAATTGTCTCTTTATCTTCACGACTCAGCTACAGCTCTAAGTCACAGTTCATTCATGACTTATTTCAAAATATCTGACCTATGTCGCAAATACTAAGCCAATGACATATGTCGCAGTACTAAACCACTGACCTATGTTGCAATACTAACCTGCTGACCTATGTCGCAATAATAAACCACTGATCTATTTCGCAAAACTAAACCCCTGGCCTATATCACTATTCTAAACCACTGACCTATTTCGCAACACAAACTGCTGACCGATGTAGCAATACTAAACCATCCAACAAAAGATTACCACAAACATTATTATTAGGACTGAGTTTAAAACTATAAAACACATATCTATAACTCTATTTATAAATAGAATCTACAGTCAAGGACCAAACGGAAAACACAATTAACAGATATACATAACACTCGAATAATTTCCCTTACAGACTGACTGGTCTACTATACTTTTTTTGTGAAATAATGCTCTCAAATCTAACTGGTCTTTCATTTTCTAACGTTAATTTGTATGTTATGATATCCCTAAATGAGACTGTGAAAAATATAATGATCCTGTGATATTTTATTTATTTATTTTTAGTGTTCACGTACCCAGCTATAAGAAATGGTATTAACCAAGCTTTAAAAAAAAGAATTGTAAAAAAGATACATTCATGCTTTCATGTTTTCCCCACCAAGAGTCCTAAAACCAAAGTCAGCATCGTGGAATGTTTGTGACACACCTTATAAAAACGCACGTGAAAATATGTTACACATCAACACTCTCTCAACCACATCGACAAACAAAATTCCAAAGAAGCTTTCCTGAGAACAGACAACAATGCACCGAGTGTCTTGCAAACGTTCCAAGTTCGAACTGGATCTGTTTGCCATGCCACATATTATGATGATGATGAAAGCATCCCAATGGGTAGAATTTCATCCCATCCCCTTTTGACGACGTCATCCCCCATCGAATTACAAATCAAAGGACAGCCCATAGACTACATCGACCTGAATATCATCTACTTGTACCTGAAAGTCAAAGTGATCAAAACGGACCACACCGCTCCGAGAGCCGATTGTAGTGTAGCTGACGTATTCCTTGTTCAGCGAAGTGGATTTCTACTTAAATAATAAACCAGTTAGCAACAGCATGCATGTAAAATCTCTAGACGTACGGAAAAGATGACAAAAACATACATCTGAATGATTGCGTTGTATGGAAACCTGACATAGCAGGCGAGGACATGTTGAATAACAAAGTCCTAACAGCAGCTGACGATGCTCATAATAAGGGCTTTAACGACCGTCGAAAGAATAAAATCATACAAGGACGTAATTTAGAACTGATGGATCGTTTGCATTTGGACATATGGTTGCAAAAAAAAAGTATTTGCTGAACAGAGTGGATATCCGCTTGCGACTCAATCGTAGCAGTACCGTTTTCCATTTGATGGCGAATGCCAATGAGTATAAAACCCATCATTCAAGAACCCAGACTGTACATGTCATGCGTTGAAGTGTTACCTAAAGTGGAAAACTACATCAGCCACACTTTAACGGCAGAACGGCTGATATCAGATGCGACTAGTGGAAGTGACAACTTTTACCATTGTTGCTGGACTCCGATCCATGACCGAAGATCAACTGTTCCAAAGACATTTACCGAAGCATTTTATCGTTAGCATGATCAGCAACGAAGCCGTCAACAGAGTCGTCACTGCCAATCCTTTCAAGTTAATAACTACAGAGTGTCCCAGATTGAAGCCAGTCGTTATGGCAAGACCTTGTGTATCACATCCTTCAAACCTAATTTTACACACTGGATACAAAAGAAGCAGACCACATTCTGTGGGAAAGCCTGCAGCTTGAAGGGGACGCAGTCTTAGACGATAAGAGAGTGCTGTAACCGCAACAAAACAGCCCTCTCCAGGGCTACACCAAAAATATATAAAAGAGATATAAGTCAGATTGCCAAAGTTTTCTTTCTTTAGTAGGTTAAAATATAGAAGTGTGCCTATAAATATTACGTTTCCATGACTTGTAAGATAGTGTGTGCTTTTTATATGTATGAATGATACTAAAGTGTGTTTGTAGGAAAAAAAGTGAACGTGAGTGTTTCTTTTAGGTCCGCGTGATCCATGCTATCGCGATGGTGGAGTGGGTATTGTTAGTTTTTGTGTAAGGGGCTGTTTTCGTTCATGTCCGTACTTCAGGCATATAGCGTTCGGCAATCAGGCTTAATAAGCGGACCGTTCGTCAGTCTGGCTACTCATCGTCGATTAGTCAACATTCAAAAATGAGCATAGTCAGCAAACGTTTGGAGCTTCAGATTCACCTGGAGTATTCTAGGCAACTCCTGAATGAGCTGGCTATGGAGGGTATCCAGGAGAAAGCCATAATTGAAAAAAGGAGGAAGAGAAGCAAAAAAAAAAGAAGAGAAGAGTACACTCCTGCCTGACATCATCCTTAGAGCAATTTGTGAGGTGAAACCCATTGTGAGGACAGCTCGACAGCGCCAAGCACCACAGCCACCAATATTACCAAGACCTGTCGTTCCTCAGACAGAAAATTGGGAAGAAGAACTGGAGAGGCAGAAGCGAGACTGAGAGCCTTGGCGACCACAGCATCCACGGGCGCAGAAAAGAAAAAGGCATGAACGGTAGAATGGGAAGCCTTTAAAACTGCATCAGCACTCCCAACCTCATGCATGAATTGGGAACAAGATTAGAGTCTGCAATGTGTTTGTCGTGCCAGAATTGAGAGGTGTCATCATTAAAGTGCATCTGAATTTAAAACAACCCAGCATTTCTCAGGGGTAACCAGATCCATAGGAAACAGAGACAGATCAAGTTGCCAAAAATATAATTGTGTGAATGTATTTGTTTGTGTGCGTGCGGATACATGCGTGTACTTTTGTTTGTGTGCGTGCGTGTGCCGTGTGTGTTTGTATGTATTGGCCTTTGTCTGTTCCTATAAAACTCTATTTATCCCTATCACATTTATTTCTCCTACCTACCTACAGTAGCGCGTATTCAGGTCAGCCACTTGCAGCACTATTGGCATTATTCCAATAGTGTCCAGTATAGTGACATCATTGACGCTGGAAATGTTGAGACTATAGGGTTTGGTTTTTCCATAGGACTTTGCACATGTTGTAGCTATGAATTGATACTAAGGTTTTTAAACAGGATCGTCACACAAACTGAGGTTTTTAATATACTTGTTTTTCCATAGGATTTTCCAAACTTTGTAGCTAAAGTATATGGAAGGATGAGAAGAGCAATAACAACAAGAACAAGAAAAAAATATCCTGATTAAGATGAGGTGCTGGTGGAGGAGATGAAGTGAGGAGAGAAAGTAGAAAAAAGCTAAACGGCTCTTTTCAAGGCCACTCATATGTCACATTAACATGTCTATTCTCTCTTGCCTAAAAACGTTTTAGTGGATTGTTTGTGTGATGTATTTATTTTCATAACTCTATGTATGTCTCGGTCTCTATGCCTCTAACGCTGTCTCTAACCATGTATGTACCCACCTCTCTGTGCCTGTGTCTCTATTTGTCCCTAGAGTAGCTCTTATTCAGGTCAGCCCCTAGCCACGCTGTTTCGCCCAATTGAGATCAGCAACTTTCAGCATTCTTTACAGTGTCCAGTACAGTGAGGTCAATTCCAATTGACCCTAGAGCTGCTCATGTTAAAGTCTCATTTGACCCATAGAGCTAATGATCAAATTTAACATAGAATTTTGACCCCGTAGTGCAAATGACCAAATTTAACATAGAAGTCTACGTGACCTT